GCCGTGGCTCATCCACCGTTGGCACCTGGACAGCCAGGACCCTCTTCTCCAAGTGGAGAGATGCACTGTGCTTTCATTGCATTGTGGTTGGCATTTCTAGACTCATGTCTGCCAGTGTTGTGCAAATTTATTTTTATTTATTAGATTTATATACCACTTTTTTCTTTTTTAAAGAACTCAGAGTGGTTGACTTGATCCTCTCCTGCTGCTTACAATCCTATCCCCACAACACCACGCCTGTGAGGTAGGTTGGGCTGAGAGTCTGTGACTGGCCCAAAGTCACCCCAGTCCCTGCTCCATGTCTAGAACCCGGATCACCTGAGTCCCAGTCCTGCGCTTTTAGCCACAACACCACACTGGCTCTCTTTACTATTATAGTTGTTGAAAGTTCTTTCCTCTTTACTAAATCCCTGTTTAAAGCCCTTTTAAAACCATCTACTGGTACAACAAAATGAACTGGTAGAATTAATTGCTGCCACTTCAGCCAATAAATGGAAAACCAGTTTCAAATGTCCCCTCCTATCCCTGGATTTTTTTTTTAAACCCTGAAATAAAGAAATCCATAACTGGCCTTTTGTATATATTCTGCTAAGACTATTTGAGTTATCCTGTCTTTGAATTTAGCATGAACAAACACATTCATACATTTCAGATCCTGGGCTTGGATGCTTGTTGGGCCAAAGTGGATTTGCTTGCAGGACAGAAGTGAGTTTACATCCAGGGAGGGGGGAATTATTTTGGTTTTCAAGTGAGGGGAAAGAGACTAATTTTCACTTTTGGGGTTTGGTTTTTGAAGGTGCAGTAAAAGACACATGCATCTTACAGAAGGCATTCCTTTTCTTCATTGGTTGAACAATTTTGATGTGAACATCAAAAAAATCTATGAGGGACAACTGGGTTTCTGACCCCTGCCTGTATCACATCCTTATATTCATAAACCCACCCAGCCAATGGTGTGACTGTTGGAGCAGGCTAAACATCTAATAAAAATAAAAAAGCACTCCAAGTACTGCTTTCATTTCTATCATATTCTTGGAAAGGCACGTAATCCCCACTTCTCCCCAGTACCACCCCCTGGTCCAGTTTATATATCCTCTGTATTCTAGTGTAAAGCTTCCAGGAGAACCTATATGGTCTAGAAACGACCACTTAAACTGGGCCAAGTGAGGGGAATGTGAACAGAAGGTCTCGTGGCCCTTTGATTTGGAGATAAGCTCTCTGTGTAAGTCACTGTTTGCTTTCAGAGATTGTGCAAAGCATGTTAATCTCTGCAACAAAGCCCTGGGAATTGAATTCTGAAAGATCCGCGGAGTGGTGTGGGAGGCGGGGACAGCGGGGCCGTGGCTGCGGGAAGTCGCACGATACAAATGGTAGCTCCTTCAGATGGAATTAAACTGGCCTTTCCCAACTGCAGGTCTTCCAGGTGTGTTGGACTGCAATTCCCATGCTTGCTGGGAAATATGGGGTGAGCAGCCCAGTGGCTTTGGAGGACACCAGGCTGGGGACAGCTGAACAAAACATCACAAGAAAAGTGCCGGTTGCTGCCATAAAATCTCTGCCAGGCACTGAGGGTGTCATCCTCTCCTATCCTATCAAATGCAGGGGGCTCACCATCCGGGTTTTACGTACCTGCAAATCTCAGGAGGAAAAGCACCAGCACAAGTGCAACTGAACATTCTAGTCAGCTTTCCCCAGCTCGAGGTGTGTGGGACTCCCAACTCCCATCATCCCCTTGTCAGCACAGTTAGGGAAAACCACTCCGGGGTATCTCTGGTGGCAAGTGCCGCAGAATCCCATGTTTGACTCTTCAGTGTTCCTGCTGATCTAAATCTAAACATGACAGCTAACACCTTGTGCCCTGCAGAGTTTCATCTCCACTTGTCCATCTTATCCACTGGCAGTTCTTGAGCGTGAGGATGTGTGAGAGCAATACTGAGAACCAGTATTTCCTAGTGGTTAGAGTGTCCCACTGAGACTCCAGAGAACGGTCTTTTAGTCCTCACTCAGCCATGACGCTCTCTGGGTGACTTTGGGCCAGTCACAGACTCCTGCTCCCGCCTTCTAGGAGTCCAGCATTGTCAAGAGTGATGGGCAGCATCTCCGTAGGGGTTCAGGCGGGGAGGTGTCCAGCCCTACCTGGAGACCTGGGGATCGAAGCCAGGACTTCGTGCATGCAAAGGGCCTGCTCCACCACTGAGCTATGGCCCCACGGTAGAGCAGGAGAGATCTGTCCTTTGGAAGGGGCAAGACCATGAGCTGGAAAGTCCCCGTGCATTGATGAGACGGTACGCATGGCTCAGGCCAGTTCCATCCCGTCCTCACTGCAACCTCCCCGCACCTCCTCTGCTGCATGGGGTGAATAGCATCAGCTTAATTTGCATGGGGGGAGGGCAACTGAGCAAAGCTCTGGGGCTGTTTTCACCCCCTGCCCCTCCACGGGTCACAGCCTCCAGGGCACCCGGCCAAGGGAAAAGATTTGGCAGCAAACCTTCTGTCATGCACAAAGGACTGAACTTTGCTTGCTCTCAAGCTAAATTTGGCTCTTTTAGCATTCTGTAGTGCTGAAAGTGCAATTTTTGGTTGCATTTTTCCCCTTGATTTGCCACTGTATAGAGATGACATATCACACCGAATGTGCCATTTTTACATTTTTAAAGTCTGGGGGCAGGGAGGCTGACCAGGATTGGGCCTGTGCTCCCATCCTGCAAACCCCGGGCCCCCAGAAATGGACAACAGTGCAAATTCCCCCCGGGGGCTAATTGTGGGGGTGGGGACTTTCACCAGCAGCATCATGCATGGCAACGCGCTAAGCGCCCCCCCCCCCCAAGTGTGCCGTGCTCCCCATCCTCCTCCTCGCCGCTGATCGTTCTCTGTTGCCACGTACTGCCAAGGCGTCTCCAACTTCGGGCGACCCTCCAAAATGCCCTGACCTTGACGGCCCTGTTGTAAATGCAATCCATGTCATGTTTGGAGCTGATCATAAAAGGAAGGCTGCTGCAGGGTCACAGCATTCGACTTCATGTGGCGCTCAGCGTGGAGAAAGTGGGCTCTTTCCAGACCGGCTCTTCCATAAACAGAAGGGCTCTTTCCCTTCACAGAAGGGACGGGGAGCTGGACGAGGGTTTCTGCTCCAGGGAAGGATGGGGGAGACCATCTTTGCAGATGCCCCTTTCCTTCCCCTGCACTGCATCCCGCATTGCTCTGGAGTGTCTACCGAGACTCCAGAGCGGATTTTCACAAATGGTGTCCAGGGCAAGAGGTCTTGGGCAGCATTGCTACCTGCCACTTCCTCTAGTGCAGTGGGCAATACTGCCCCCCTTGGAGTGGTGGAAGGATAGGGGGGTGATGATTGGCTGTTTAAAATTTGCAGTAGAGCAATAAACCTGATTCAAAGAAAGAGGCATAGGACACTAGGGTGATGGCCCAGGACCAAAGGGGGAGCAGGCTGAAAAAGTTTGAGGATCACTTCTCTAGTGCGAGCTGATTTCCACACGTTGCTGTGGAAGCTGGTGTCTCCAAGGTCAGAGGGGGAGTGCATCCACTCTGGGTTGCAGTTGGAATGGCAAAGGAGCTGTCCGTGGTGGCAACCCCGACTCCCAACCTATGTTCAGCACCGTGGAAAGCACCATGGAACTTCAGGCCACCGCCCAGAGTGGATATACCGCCCCACCTCCATTGGCGTCAGCAGCCCCCATGGACCAGTTGTAAGCCTGGACTCAATCCATCCTGTGCAAATTACTTGGACATGTATAAATCATGATGGTGATTCCTGATGTTATTATAAAACTATTCCTCTTCCTGCCCCCTCCCTCCTTCTGCATTTTGGCATTAAGATGAGATAATCAGAGGCTTTGAGAGGGACGCATCTATAATGCTACTTAATATCTCCTCTGTATTAATCCACAGCATCTGGGAGAGATGTTATTTGACCAGGAAACCCAGAGACAAAATCATTCTTCCCTTCATGCAAGCTCACAGCCTTCAAATATCTGTTTGCAGATATATTCTGCAAAAAAGATGGAGCAGTGGGGTGGGGTGGGGTGGGGTGAACAGAGAAGCGAAGCACAGGGTAAAATCCATTCCCCCCTCCCTCCCTCTCTTGGCTCCACCCCCCCCCCCCCCCGCTTTCTGTATTCATGTGCTCATTTATTTATTTAGCAGCTACCTCCACAGGCGAGCCAATAAAGTATCTATAAATGCCGGTGTGGGGGCGGACAATTACCCGGGGAGATTTTCAAGGCAGATATTAGCGAGCAAACCCCTTGGGGGAAGTCTCATTTGGGATGCTGGCTCCAACGGCTGTGGCCGCTATCATCTGATCTCGCCGAGTCAATCCTGAGACGGTGGTAGTGGAAGGGGAGGCCCTGGTCGCCAGGGGGATGTTTCATGATGCTCTGAGCACCACACACACAGACACGCACGCCAAGCTATTCTTCGCAGCGTGCTAGCAGGCTGCGCGGTCACCGTTTTGATCAAGGAGCCACCTGCTCGCACGAGCCTTGTTATTTTCTGCCAAGACGAAAAGCTGTCCCGATGAATCGTTGGTGACACTAGAGAAGGGGGTGTGAGGAGGCAGAGCTTCTCATGTGCCGAGTCGTCAAAGCAGCTACTCTGGGGATTTGCTGGAAGACTTTTTAGAATTCTGAAGTTCCTGAACAATCTGGCTGTCGTCCGAGTCCTGACATTCGCTGGGTTTTCTTCCGAGAAGGAGAAGAAGAAAATGTGTTAGTGGGGCAGCCGGTACAGAAAGAGGCGTCGGCTAGCGAGGAACTTTTTCTCTCCTGGGAAGCAGAAACTGGCCTTTGGGATGGCAATGAGAAAGACCTCAAAGGACAAGTCCCGTGCCTTTGTTTGCTGCTTGTGATCTGACCCTATGAACTCTTTTGGCCTCAGGGCAAGGCGGACTTAGGCACAAAAAGACCCCAAAACAAAACCCAAACCCAAGGAACTGAAAAGAACAAAACCATGGTACAAAACGTCATCTTGGTTTTCTTCCGCAGGCGACTGAGCCAAAGACCTGCTGTTGAGGAGCTTGAAAGAAGAAATATTCTGAAACGTAAGTACTGGAATGCTTTTTGTATATGACAAAGTGTAATTTCTAGTAATCTCACCCCTTTATATGAACGGTTCTTCTCACATTGGAGAATCTATCCCATTTGAGACAGTGTTGATAAGCAATGATATGCTGGTATGGTCCAGATTTCTAGAAAGATGCTGGACTCTTCACTGATATGATTTTTATTTTTCAAATGATTCACCTTGAATATTGAAGAGAATTGCTGTTAAATAGTGTGTATTTTATGATCATTTCACAGTTATCAGTAGTAGAACATATATAAACACACACACAGAATGTGCATACGTGTGCATGTCAGACCATCCAAAATTATTCCCATTTTATTAGTGGGAAACTGAGGCAGAGAGGGGTCACTTGCCTGTGGAGATCCATGTGTCATTTTGCAGAGTTTCTGGCTAGGACTTCAAATTCCAGAACCATTTTCTAGTGTCCTGTTGAAATATGGTTAGAAAAGAATTTCTCCACTTCAGTGTAACAATGACCTAGATTCAGTTTTTGGAATCTTTCTGTTTGTTTTAAGAAGGAAAATCAAAGCAGACCACAAACTGCATTTCACCCCTTTAGAAGTGAAATGCAGAAGGCACCCAAGCAGAAGAGTAAGTTTCCTGATGAGCAAATCAGGTGCGGTATACCCTGACCTTTCTGTCTCAGTGCAAGTCAGGAATTAAAACCATGAAAGGCAGACTTCGGTATCATAACTTTTTGCATTCTGTGGCCTCAGCACCACATTTCACATGAAATGAAATTAGAGGCCAGTTCAGGGGGTCCTGCTCAAGCAAACTACATCAGATGAAAAACCAAGAAATCTTGACATAGCAAAGTTTCCCAGGGCTAGCTGTATCAGCAGTCCTGGCGTTCTCTGCCTTTCAGCCGTAGAACTGCTGAACATCTTATAAAAATGTCTCAGTAGACCACTGGGTTGCAGCATTTTGATCCATAAACCACCTAAAGGTCAAGGCAGCTGTTGCTTCCTCAACTTGCTGATCTCCAGAACGATGAGGGCAAGTGACAGACCGTTTACTGTTGGAAGACGTGGGGAGCCCAGGTGCCGTTAGGAGCAGGGCATCCTTCTGAGCGCACTTGCACGGAGTCGGCCTGTCACCACCTGGCCAAAGCCCACCAGCTTGGGCATGGGCATGCTGCTGTCCTCCATTCTCTGCCCACCCCCTGCCCTGTGTGACCTATCTCAGCTCGAAGGAGTGCTGAGAACACATGAGGGAAGCTTGCTGAACACGCGAAGGGACGGCACTGATGCAAAATGCCTTCTCATCCTTCCTGGGCCTGTCCAGGTTGGGGCGCGTGTGCAGGGACAGACTGCCTCCAGTCCACAGACTGTCATGCGGAGCAATCAGGCATGTTCACCCAGCTTTGGACCTGGCCCTACTGGGGTCACCACCCAAGTGTGCAGATGGCGATGGGGGGGGGCACTGGTTGCCCTGGGGAGGGGCAGAGGGCAATCCCCCTCTATGTGATCCATGAGGGGGGTTTACTCTTTGGGGGGGCTGTTGAAAGAGGGTCACATGTTGCGGGCTCAGCTCTTGGAGCAGAGTCGCCTGTGCACCGCATGTTGGGGGCCACCGGCTCGCGTCCACCGGGGCCAGGCATGCATTAACGCCGGCGCCTGCATAGGGATTGCCCCGGCCTGATCTGGGTGCCTGGGTTCCACATAATCTGTTGCTCGCGGCAGAGGTAGAGGGTGCAGTCTGAGTTGCAAAAACAAAGAGGAGCCGATTGAAAAACGGGAAAGTTTCTGTGCCTGCTGAAAGTTCTGGAATGCCATTTACAGATAATGCAACTATCCACCTGGGCTTCCTCTGAGTTTAGCCCCCTGGAGAATCTGCCTGCTTAATTACTTTTCCCTTCCAGTCCCCTAAGTTCCCCCATGCCACCAAAAAGTGCCACCAGCCAGGTGTGCATGTGGATACACCAGGATGCCTGGCTGACTACAGCAAAGTGGTTCCTAAAAAGAGACCAGAGAGAGAACTAGAAAATAGTTTGCTAATAGTCCTTTCAGATAGGATGGGACAAGGTGGCCTCCTGGTCCAATTTGACTGGCAGCATCTCCCCATTGTCTCATTTCAGGAGCAGAACAGTTGCTGAACGGTACAGCACATGCTTTGCATGTCAAATGTATAAGGTTTAATCCCAGTTCAAAAGAGCAGGAGAAGGGAAAGGTCTCTCTTGAGAGCATGGAGACAGGCTGAGACAGGCATTGGTTGGATAAACAGCTAGTCTGACTTGCTATAAGGCAGCTTTTTATGTGCTTCCTATCCCAGATTTGTTATCCCCTACATAAGTAACACTGGAGAGTATCCCACTAATATTTTTAAAGAATTTGTGAGGCTAATAATGCAACAAATGCAAAGAGTGTTAGTTCTCAAGGTCATTTCAAACATTAATTTTTTCATATTAGAATTGGACAAAACTCTCAAATCACAGCTGCTCATAGTGTCTCTGTTTTGAAATCTGAAGTTTGGCACATCTGAACTTAAATTCAGTTTGACCCAAGCATCAAGATTCTTTTTAAAGTTCTTGTGAATATATGTATGCAACATTGTACAAAGGTTCTGCAAATACATACATCCTTGCATTCAGTTTTGTCCAATAAACACATTTTAAAGATTTTTTCCTGACATAATCCTTTTTTCCATGAATATGCATTTTGCACACACTTTTCTTTGAAATACAGTTTTAACACTTTTGCAAAATTCAGAGAACTGTATATTCCAAAGCATAATTGAGCTTCAGATTTAATTTTGATTCACTAGAGTTAGTTTCAAATGCAGAATGAATTACTTTCCCCACAACCCTTTGTTTCTCTGTTGCCTCCGAAGGACCAGGAAAGGGTTGGAATGCTTTTGCTGGGTGCAAAAGATCACCTGATGATTCTAGCTGCCACTCTGAAGCCCAGCTTTGTGTCTTTATTTGGGTTTGGCTCGCATTCTAACAGTGCCTGAATCCACACACCCCAAAATAATGCGTAAAACCAGGACATGCTTCTTATTCAGTTTTGCTCTTTTTCTGAATCTTGCAATGAGATTTGGCAGTCAGAAATGATGCAACGTAATTACCATAATTAGAGGAAGCATGTGCAACCCTGCATTCCTTGGAGAAAGGCATACAAAAAATGCATGCATTATTGTACCTATTTCTCTAAGGTATGCATTTTTGCTTGCATTTCTCCTAAAGTAAACTTTTGTGAACACATTTTTCCCAAAACATGCCATGTTGTCCACATCTTTGCATGCCTGCTTGAATGGTGCCAGGTGGTTTGGGCTGACTGAGTGCCCCGCAAAACGAAATCTCAGAGCATCTTCCACTGCAGTGTTACCTCTGAAACCCAAAATGGACCCTAAGGTCCACGAAGAGTCTTTAGAGTGCTTTCTATAATCTGGCCAGTGAAGTTCCTATTCAAGCAGATTTTCTTTCATCCCAGTGTAATTTCAGTCAATCCAGGCATACCCTGGTGATTGTTTCAGTGCTGTGGCTAATTTAGAAACCTTGTCGAGAGAGAGGGTGTAAATTACACTCTTCTGTTTGGCGCTGCTCGCTGACGGAGTTGTCTCATTAGGACCGGTGGCCCAAAGCCAGACACTTAAATAATTAATGGCTGTAAAAGCAGTCTGAGCCAGACTCCGATTACAGAGTTCGTTCATTTTCCCCGTTATAGAGTAATGTTTTAATATTATCAATCCCTGTCATAATGTATCCTTCCATAGCATTTTTCCCCCAGCGAAGACTTTATCTCAAGGGCAAGTCAGACAACCGAGCGAGGGTGCGGTGTGTGAGAGAAGGACATGTTGGGGGAGTTACTCTGGATCAGAGCAATCAGACTAAGGGCAGGTTCACGACTGACGACTGGCAGTTGAGGGTTTTCTGGGGCTGAGTTGAGGCTGCACTGAATAGCGTGGGGTTGGTCGATCGAGCAGCAGATTCCCCCGGAAGTGCCACTCCTGCTTGGCTGGGGGATCTTGACCACGATGCGGGGACCCACTGGCTCTGCCCAAGGCAGTGCCTCGGAACCACGTGGGACCTCACTGCAGGGAAGCCCCATTAATGGACCCAAGAGAGGTTCCTCACCCTCAGGTCTATCAAAACGCAGCTCTGCATTCCTTCTAAGGCTCACGTTAGAACATGAGGACATAGGAAAAGCCCTACGGGCTCAGGCCAGGGGTCCATCCAGCCCAATGTTCTGCGCACACAATGGCAGCCCAGCTACCCACAGGCGCCTTCGAGCAGGAGATCAACGCAACACCCCCTTCTGCCCAGGCTTCCTGGCAACTGTGCATAGGCATAGTCAAGCCACTGTTCCCTGCAGCTTAATCCTGGAGCTTCTTTTCATGTGCTTGGGCACTGAAAACGGCACGGAAGTGTGCCTCTGAGCATGGGAGTTCTTACATTCCGATGATCCATCAGTTGCCAGCACACCTAATGAAGCACTAATTCCTCCTTGTGAAAGCGTGGCTGGGGGGGGGGGGGGGGTTGGGCTGGGGAGAGAGAAAGCTTTGGCATTTGCTGATCTTTTCATACATAACAACAGACCTGATTAAACAAGGTGCTTAATTATATTTGGAATGGGTGTGCTAATGACACCTTGAAGGTATCTTCCTGTATTCCGTAACACTTTCTTTTTCTTGTTGGGATGAACGTGTTCCCATGCACGCACACATGCACACGTACAGACAGCCCCCCCCCCCCCCCCCGCAGCCATCTATGCAGGCATTGGCATCCTTTCTGAGCAGTCGTATTCAAGACCCAGGCAGGGCTGCTTCTTGTCAAGGCTGCAAAAATTGCAGACTCTCTGGTTACAGTGCGTCTCCTTGCAGTTACTATGCTCCCATAAATAGTGCCATGTGCATGCCTCTCTTCAAAGTGCTCAGGAGATGGCAAAAATAGAGAGCCAGATTCTAAAAATAGCTGCTGTCGTGTGTGCGTGTGTTTCCTTCCAAGCCACCTCTTTAAGGCTTGTTAGCCACTGAAGGATGAAAAATCAAACATCTGATTTAAAGCAGAAAATGCCCTTCAGCACAATGAGATTACAATGTGCAAATTAGAATGGCCCCCACAATCCCCCCCCCAAAGGGGGGGTGGTCAAAAGATCTTCCCCATAGATTCCCTGCTGCTTTCAGGTTACTAGCACACGTCTTAATTTAGTGACAGGCAGCCCTTGAAATAGAGGGAAAAGAATCCATTAACTTGTATCCCAGGGCTAAGGATATATTTCACACAATGTTACAGCAGCCACGTCTATTTTTAGCTCCAGCGTGTAAGACTTATCACAGCTTGAATACTAATACTTACGGAGTAGCAAAGCAAACAGGCTTGGGCTAGAAGAGAGTATCTCTTTAAGAAAAGGAGAAAGGAAACCCTCCGTCTCTCCACCCTCTACCTGCACCAACATATTACGGATCTATAATAAGATTGGCACAACCACAATATGAGAAGGCAAAGGAATGCGTGGGAGTTGATTGCTGGCTATTGTTATAAATTAATCAACAAAATTACGGGAGCCTGGCAGAGGAAGAGTACGAGGAACGTGTGTTCCCTGAAGTAGATGCACTACAATGTTCTAGCTCATAAGGGCAGCACGGATGACTCAGACAGAGATGTGGCATCGCAAAGCGATCATTTAGACTTCTAAAGTCTATCGATTTCCCCTCTGCAAACGCTCCTCGTTGTCCCAATCGAGGGACAGGATTGGCTGCTTCATGTCAGTGGAAGCCCGCTATAACTGGCCACCAGCAAGACGCTTGACACTGGACTCAGTGGAACCCCGTGCTGAGGAGCGTGTGATGCTTTTGGCAGCCGACCAGGCGAAGTGGAGGGTGCGGTGACCTGGGGGTGTGTGGAGAGAGAGAGAGATTGAGAGAGGAAGGGACGGACAGTGTGGGAAAGGAGCAGGCACACACAGAGACACATGCACACCTGAGGAGCACCCAGTCGGCCCTGATGAGGAAAGTCATCTCTCTCTTCATATTTTCTGCAGAAAGAAATGACCAGACAGAACAGGAAGAAAGAAGAGAGATCAAGCAGCGGCTGACAAGAAAGGTAAGTTGCCTCGTCTACATGCTCTCAGGCTTGATCAAGCATTTGGCACATGGGTCATGACAGGGTCCCCCTGGAGATGAGCTTTACAGTGGCAATGGGCAGTGTCTGTGCCATGGGAACTACTGCAATATAGGCTCTCACCTGTTCTCAGGGCTGAATCGCCTCTGGCCCCTACTGGACAAGGAGCCACGCTTTCTTTCGCAGTGTTTACCATGGGGTAGGGCAAGCATTGGAGGGATCCCTTCTGCCCAGCTTGAGCTGCCCTGCAGCTGGCACACACGTGGAACATTCCATGCCCCTTCCTGTGAGGTGAGGACAGCCAGTGGTGATCCGTCTCATGCTTGCGTTGAACTGAAGTTGAGCATTTAACCAGGCATGGGGTGCAACCCAGCTCTCTTCCCACACAGTCCCTTCCGAAATAATGGAGGTTCACACGGGAGCAGTCCTTGGCAAATTACCCTTCTGACAAGTGGAACAGCCAACAAGAGAGACACAACATCTGTACTCAGCTAATGGGCAATCAATTACTTCCACTAGATTTTTGGGAGAGCAACAGTTCCTTCCCACTGTCTCTTGCAGGGAGACGTCCACATAAGCTGCTGCATGCAGGTGCTTCTGTGTGAATCTTTAGGGCACTCTTTTCCTCTTAGACACGATCTTGCTCTGTGTGAACAACCAAGAACTATGAATCAGATGCTCATGCAGACCCAGGCAATCCTGGACCCAAGAGAAACTGTTGTGGGGGTTCAGCAGAACTTAATCTATGCTTTGTGAATATATGCATCTTGCACATTGCACAACTTCATGCTGAGCTGTAGGTTTCTGGTAATTGGATATACCCACACATACCTCCTTCTGAGTGAGCTACCTGAATTACTGGCATAAGAACAATTCTCAGAAAGAGTTCCATCCATTCCCTAAGGTAATGCACAAGTGCTTTGTAGAGGCTTTAAAAATAGCCAGGTATTAAAAATGAATCGTGCAAGCTCCTTGAAGCTTCCCTCTGAGTGCATCTCCAAGATTCATTCATAAGTCCCTGCTTCACACTAGAGTCTGTAAATGAGGCTCAGTGTTAGTATTCAGACTCCTCCCTCCCTCTTGTGTGCAGTGAATGCATGAAAGGAAAATTGGGGGTTTGCCTGCTTGGTATGTCTTGCTGCAGCTGCACGTGGGGTGATAGTAGAAAGAAGGCCTGTGGCTGATCAAGATTCCTCCCCACATGGAGGAAATCTACCCGTATGTATACAGGACTCCTTTGTTGTTGCTGGATGTGTGGCTGCCACCTGCCAGCAGCAGACGCAGCCAGTCAATAAGTTGGTCTCAGGGTGTGTGTTCAGCAGATCCTTCCCAACCCATCACTTAGGTGATTGCTGAGTGTGCATCTGGAACATAGCTGAAGAGAGCCAGCAGAGTCCCTATGTGATGGTTGCAGCTGTACGTCCCCAGAGCTCTTACTGACCTCTCCATTTCTCCTTTGCACTGTCCCGAGTCTGAAAAAAAGGCCTCTGCCAGGAGGTAGGCGAGTGAGCAAGTTGGCAGCAGAAGCACCAAGAATGGTCTGAGGAAGCCCTTGCAGTTGACACGCACCGTTCCTAATGTAACAAATGGTCTGAGTGTGGGTGCTTGCTTCTAAGCACAGACAGCTTTTGCTGGATTCAGGCCATCAAGGTACCACCCAAATCTCCTTAGCACACTGATTGCCCAGACTATGACTCCCTGCCCCTACCCACAGAGTGATGGAGGCGATTTGCTCCTACTAGTGGACTTGTCTAGCAAGTCAAATTGTCTTTCTGTATGCAAAATGTACCATATGGAACAGTCCTAAATTAGAATATTGGGGTACTAAGGGCTGCTTCCTTTGCTATGTTTGAAGCATGTATCTCTTTGTGAGGCATGTTCCAAACACACTTTGGGATATGCATTCCAAATGGGTGTGCACCAAGGGGAACTTATGATTTTATGGAGGGAAAGGTTTTCCTAATGATGTGTATGAAGAACAGCACTCCAGGAACTGGAAAACCTCCAAGCCACTAAATACAATACAAAAAAGTCGCGAAAGGCACAAAAATAGAACAGCAAGACAGCAAAAACATTTGCAGCTAGGCTGTGACAGCAAAGACATTTGCTTGACGGGTCTCTGGCTTCTGTGCTACTCAAGATGACTTTGGGCGCAATCTGCTTGCCCTCCTTGCAGATGCTCATAAGCCCTTGAACGTGGGAGCTTAGGAGGCTCCAACGCAAGGTGCAAGGCATGGCGGTAGCTTTTTGATCTTCATGGCCATATTTGGCTATCCAGATTAAGAGCTGGGCGGCGGGAGGAAACTGGGGTGCAAGTTGGAATCATCACAACCTTGCAGGACCACCTTCCTTCCCTTCCTGCTCCCAGCATGCCCCTTCCCCCACCCCCCAAAAATTCCTAGCTGTGTCCTTGAAAGTAGCCACATACAGTAGTTCTTTCCACACTGGCTACAAAGAGGCAGGGCAAGGCAGGGCTTCATTTCTCAGACTCTGAAAAATCCTATGGTCTCCCAGAAGAAATTGGGAGATGATAGGATTGTTTCCTTCATGCATTTCAAATAACAAATAGAATTGGAACCACATTTCTCTTACTTCACTGCGTGCAATGGGAAGAAAAATGGGTAACAAAGAAGAACACAGACATTCTCATAAATCTCCTTCCCCCATTACTGATCTCCACTGTGCAATATTTACATGGAGATTTTGTTTTCTTCTTTCTTCCCACAGCTTAATCAAAGACCTACAGTTGATGAATTAAGAGACAGAAAAATCCTGATTCGATTCAGTGATTATGTGGAAGTGGCAAAAGCACAGGATTATGACAGACGGGCAGATAAGCCATGGACACGGCTCTCAGCGGCAGATAAGGTATGGCTCATTGTGATGCGTGTGCGTTTACACAGGATGTGTGGCTCTGTGAATGTCTTCCAGGAATATGTGTGGTTCAACTACTCATCACACTTCAAACACTTTTGACTAATGTGCTAAAAACTGGCTTTAGACAAAGTTTTAGACAAAGGCAGCAGCAGTGGGAAAAGGATATCCATTCATCTGCCAGATGCAGATTCCACTCACCCACCTGCTGAAAATCACCCCCGAGTTGTTAACTTGCCAAGGTGCTGTTTGGTTCCGGGCTGGAAGGCCCTGTCTCTAATTTTGCAAGAGACATGCCCTTGTTCAAGTATGCTAATTCAAAGCATTTTAAACATAAAGCACAGTTTGTCCTCTGTGCAAGCAGTCTAAGAGTGCAATCTTGCATGCAGTAACATGAATCTAAGCTCTGTGGGGCTTACTTTTGACCAGACACATAGGGTTGTACTATAAGGCACTGCCTGATGGCCTGCCCTGTATAAGCCACAATAAGGTTGATCAGCTGCTTTGCAGGGAAGAAGACTAAACCCACCCCCAGCTCCTTCCCCCAAACAGATGATCAGTACCATTCATAATTACCCAGCAGGGTTGGGCATGTGCAACCCTGGACAATGGAAAACAGTGAGAATTGAGGCATGCAGCATCCAGTTTGTGCATGCTGTTTTCCATTCAGCAGGAATATGCATCTGTTTGCACACTTCTGTGGCCCTCAGCTGCATTGAAGCGCCTGCTGTGAAGCTTAGCCCCAGGGAAGGAGTTGCTATACCTCATATAGGGGTTTAGATGGAGGGCCAACACCCACTGCTCCAGAACAGCCTGTGCTGTGTGAAACCACTGCCATGTCAGCATAATAGGGCAAACCAACCTTCTCAGCACAGCTGTGTTCTGTGTTTGCAAGGACGAATGCAGGAATGGTTTTGCTGCTTTTCTTTCTTTGGCTGGAGAAATCAGAATTACGGCACCATGCAGTGCTCAGCTCCCCTCTGCCCCAGCTCTCAGGGAGTTTTGCTAGCCATTGTAGAAGCTGGAAGTTACGCATAGCTTCTTTCAGGAGCTTATTGTTTTTCTGCAGTTTGAGTTGCCAGTGTTGCAATATATTACATTTTTTTTAACCTGATGACTTTTTCAAGATGGTATGATGGAAATATTTGAATTATGGAATAGATTTTCTGTCATGCCTACAGTGAAATGCAAGTTGTCTACAGCAAAGCAAATCATATATGAATAGCACCATGCATTATTTGAGGATATATTTACACATACATAGAGCAAAAGGAAGGAGAATGGGGGTGGGTGGAAGTTAGTTTTGTATAGCAAAGCATGCTGTAATTCTCATTTTTACATAGAGAAGCTGTTCTATCTACCTGCAGATGGCATCGTTTCTTATTTCTGTTTTGCATTTTTAACAAAGCTCATTAATAGGTAGCTGAGGGACCTTGTGCTACATCTGTTTAAAGCAGAGGGAAAGAATCATTGTCAAAACCTGGAAAATTCTAAAGTAGGTCGCAACACTATGTGTTTGCGGTACTTTCAAAATGAAGTTTTTATTTATTTAAAACATTTGTATGCCGCCCAATTGTGCTACAGCACCTCTGGGCAGCTTACACCGAGACTGCTTGCAGGGAGGCTGTTTTGCTTTGTTTTTAAGCACAGATGCCAAAGAGTAGCACCCCTTACCTGCACTTACAACAATGACACGCCATTTTATCACGTCTGAACTCTGCCAGCTCATTCACCTGCCAGTGCAGACTAGATATAGGAGTGTGTGAGAGGGTGCATCCAGATCTTGGTTTCTAAGCGTGCCCACCTTTTGGTGTGTTCCTACTAGCAAGCTGTAGAGCACTCTTGCACTTTTCCCCCTGGAGCCATGCAGAATACAGAATCAAGAGTTGAGTAAATGGCAAAGTAGTCCCATGACCATGCTACTCACTGGGTTGGAGTTGTTGGATGCAAAAGTGGAAACACACCATCTTTTGTCCCCCCAGGCCTCAGGGTACACCACCAAAAATGTTTTAAAGGTCTTTGTTCTTGCAGATTTTAAAAGGTCAATTCGTCTTGTTTTTCTTTGAACTTCCTAGGCAGCCATTCGGAAAGAGTTAAACGAGTACAAAAGTAACGAAATGGAGGTGCATGCATCAAGCAAGCATTTGACAAGGTCGGTTGCCCAGATATTTTTCTATTATGTGCAAACAATTGTTTTGGGTCTAGAATGTCCCTCTGTAGAAGACCTTGCCAAGATAGTGCTCTCCAGATGTTGTGGAAGACAACCCCCATCACCCTTGGCTATTGGCCATGCTGGCTGGGGATGATGAGCACAGCAGTTCAAAGCCTCTGGAGAAGCCTGTGTTGGGGTAGAGTGCCTCATACCAATAAAAGATCTTTCTTTGGAAAGGGATGGGAAGGAAAACAACATCTGCATAATCTGAGAATGAGAATGTCTGTTATTCTATGCTCCTCAGTAGTGGAAGCGCTCTGAATGGTTAACAACCATTTATATAAAAGAATTGACAATACAATAAACACAGCACAAAACTTCAGTGCAAGATTTAAAGACATTAAAGCCCTTTGAACAATGAACAAAAGGTGTGAAGCTGTTTACACATTCACTGTCTGAACAGCCCACACATTGAGATTCAAATGCGGTAAGTAATCTGCCAATGAAAAGTTTTAAGTGAATTCTGGGACTCCTCCTCAGGTGAAACTATGAGAATTTCAAATGAAACAAAATAAAAAATCTATATGATGACAGAAAATGTTGACATATTGGCCTGAATTTGCACATAATGATAACCTGGGTTTTTCCAGAAATTGTGGATTATTGAGATTGAAGTAGCCTTCAAGAACCAGCATTCTACTTCCTTCTCAATTAACCAGAACTTTTAAAAAAATCAAATCTGGGTTACTGATATGGGCACATTGTGCCACTGGCACTCCTTAAATGCAATTCCTTGTTTGATGACATTTTGAACCATTTCCATTGCTACTAATTTCTCCTTCTTACCACTAGATTCCACAGGCCATAGAGATTTTCTTCTGAGAAGAATTTGTCTACTTTTTTGATACCACTACTGAACATGCACCAGGGAAAGTATGAAGGTCTTTCCTTGAGGTTCAGTCTATGACAAGCTGATGAAACAAGTTCGAGGACTCTGCAAATGAAAGCTCTGCAGCACACCTACAGAGGATCTTCCAGAGGATGGCCTTCACGTTGGAGTCGCAACACCTACGGGGCGGGAGAATTCACCGAAAATGACGTCAAGCTCATCAAAGAGGAACCTACTGCTCTTCTTCACTTGTTTTAAACTGTATTGCAGCCTATTTTGGGAAAGGAGATGTTGTGCATGTACAGGCTTTACCATTCCAAGGCCTCTGCCCTAATGGACATGGCGCGCACCGCCTTTCAGTATTATCAGTGACAAGACACTTGGAACTTACCATGATTAGTTTGTATAAAACACTTAAGTTCATGTTCTACAAAATGATTTACTATATTATTTCTTTCCTTTTTTATATATAATGTCTAACAAAAACACAGCTGCGGCATTTTTCTGGGACTCCTGTTAATTTCCCCCCCCCTTTAATTAAATGATTACTTACTGCAGAAAACAGATCCATAGCCTTCCATGTTTATGATATTCAGGAGAGGGAACTAGCTTGCAAGAAAATCTGGTTGCTCCTATCTCTCAAAGGTGCACTAAATATATTTTACACTAGGGAATTCCATTCTCTAGAAAGATTCCTTGGAACAAAAGTGCAGGCAGCACAAAGAAGTATAGTACTAGCAAAGTGAATGGGATTGGGGCCATTTATACTGACAGAGAAGCTGAACATTCATTTGGGATCAAGTTCTGTTGCATCAGTCAGAAATTACTATTCAGCATTCAACTTCTAACTGTTGCAGTGGTGCGGCCGCTTGTGATACCTGCAGGTACAGCATGATGGCACAGGTAATTATGAGGTACTGGCATGGTACTCAGCACAGTACAGTCTAAGTCCCTATGTGGTAACCAAGCATGGCTTAGAAGCAATTCATATATTGCTGTCATGGTTCTCCTGCACATGGACCTGCTCCCATAAGGGGTTTACCCACGTGAATAGTGTAATACTGGGAAGCAGAAGTCATTGAAGAGAATGGTGAAACTTCTGTAAGCAGAAATTCTTGCTCTGCAAAGCTGAACAATAATCTCTTGTAAACTCTCTTCCGAAGACATTATACATTGCATGAATGAAAGGATCATCACAGGTAGAGTTTTCCATCAGCTTGAACTCAGCTTTTCAGAGGAGTCAGTTCAGATTTTAGGGTACCAATAATCAAAGGCAGAGAAACCTTACGATGGTAAAATTGCTCATTTGTGTGTGCAATGTGATATACATGAGACTGGATAAGAATCTAGTATCAATAGAAGGGTTACAGATAGGTACATGGAAACATATTTGCAAATACTGTCATATTGTTCCAACCAAGTCATGTTGTCAGATTTTTTTAAACAACACAAAATGAGCTCAATGGGAATTACATCCAGTGAAATGTGTATAGTGGGGGTGGGCAATCTGGTACCCTCCCAGTGTTTTGGATTATAATTAGTATGACCAATGGTCAAGGATCATGGAAGCTGTAGTTTAAAACAACTGGAATACACAAAATTATACCCATGCTATATAGGACTGCAGTATTAGACTGTAAATTTTAAATATCCTTACTAGGGAGTTTACAGCTGAGTAAGCATGATTAGGTATCTGCTACAAGTGCAGGTTCTTCGGCCAAAACTGCAGACTATCACTTAGACTGCATGTTAAATATGCTTGGTCTGGTTTCATTTTTCTCTTAAATGTATGTTTTTCCCACAGTAGATAACAGGAAAGCTGATTCAGTGTAGACTACCCAAACAAGGGTGCAACTTAAAATGCAGTCCTATGAAATGTGTGAATCATTCAGCCAAAGAAACCAAAACCAAACCAAACAAGCAAACAAAAAATTGTAAGACAAGCATGATGGCTACCTGGAAGTCATAGTGTTGCTGCCTTCCCAGGATTGCAGAATCAGCTGGGCAATCACTAGACCACCTGCATGTTATTGCTGATGTGGGGAGAGCCATTTGGTTGGTCGCAAGCAATGCAGGTTCAGGTTAAGGCATGAAAACTAAGCCATAGGAAAGAATGTACAAAGTTCATGGTAAAATCACAGAATAAATTAATCCGCTGGGCTAATTTTATTTGTCTGTCTGCTACTCACCCTTGAGAGCAAGTGATTCATTTGAATATTGAATACTTAAGCTGTTATTATGTGTCTGGATTGTTCCCATTCCTAAGAATAGGAGTGATGATTTTAATGAGAGAACTTCAGCTACTGGGTGGTGGAGAAATGATGATGATGAAAACTCTTTCAGAAGACATTGTTTTTAAAGCAATAGATCCCACAGTGCAGTTAAGCACCTGCTAAACAGTCTTGCTTTGCTTTCACACAACTTATTCTATAGGATGTTTTTTATTGAAATCAGAACTGGCCAAATCTTTTTGATGCATTAAAAAAGTGTATACCTAACAGTGGCATCAAAATAGGTGCAAAGCTATTCAAACTCTACACGGTACATTGATCAGAGAAGTAGTTTGACTGAAAAACTTCTTGCAAATTTGCAAAAGCAGGTCCAAGAGAGGGAAGTAGGAAATACAAGTTCTATTCAAACACTGGATTGAGTCTGTCATGCTTGGCATGGCATGCAGTTTTCATTTCAGTGTCAGGAACTGCATAATCTCTCCTATCTGTTAATTACAGAAGCCTAGCTCTAGAAAATACATGCAGACCCTTGCACACAGCATTTCCATTTCACCATCCAATGTTTGTGGCTATGACTCCCCTCCCTAGATAAGGTTGTATTTGTTTGGAAATATTATAGAACACAGACCTTCAGCCAAGTCATGGATTCTCATGCTTCAGAACACATCTACAGGTGAAAAGGGCAGGGGGCCAGATGCAACCACAGTAGGCACGTTTTGGGAACTGGAGTCCCAGTGCGAGGGCCTGGATTCAGTTGGCCACTCCTAAGTGCTAGTGGATGCATACACACTGGTTTTATGCAGACAGGTTCCCTGCAAATGCAAACCCCAGGGCTGGATGTAGATGTTTCTTTCTCTTGCACAGAGATATAGTCCCATGGACAGAATGGTATAACAGTGAAGGGAATGTGCAACATATATTAATATTAGTTGTGCAAATGAGACAAAATGTCTCCTGCTTTCAAAACCAAATAAACTCATTTCTACATCCTGCCAGGTTTAAGTACTCTCCAGTAACTCAATTATATTGATTTAAATGAAATCTCATGAGACTCACCTAGTGGGGATAAGAAGTAATTGCACATAAGAGGACAGCATTTCCCAAAGGAGATTGCGTAGAAACACAGAAGCAGAGCGAGTCAGAAGGGGCCTCCCAGCCCATCTGGTCTGACCCCATGGCTCCAGCCGGCTCCGCTCATGACACGCCCACCACGTGCATGTCCAGCCTATCTTTGAACACCCTCCCGATGGGGTCTCCACTACCTCCTGTGGAAGCCCATTCCATACCCTCAGGGTCCTGTCAGGAAGTCCTTCCTGGCATCTAAATTGGTTCCCTGAGCTTCGCTCCGTTGGAGCATGTCCTGCCCTCCTCTGCAGGGGAGAACAGGCCTCTAGCTACCTCTGTGTGACACCCCCCCTCACATACCTGTATGTCACCAACAGATCTCCCCTGAGTCTCTTCCAGGATGAAAAGACCCAGTTCCCTCAGTCTTGCCTCATACTGCTTTCCCTGCAAAATGGCCACCAACCTTGTGGCCCTGCGCTGCACTGACTCTGACTACTTGAAGCTGAACTGAACACAATCACATAAAACCCTATGTGAAAAAAGCCATAAAAGGTTACTTGATGAAAGATTTCTTCGTTGACCAAGTATCTGCCTTTAAAAAAGTGTGCATTAGGTTTAAACTTATAATACAGGAAGTGAAAGTCATCACTGACTATTTGAAAGATAGGCTATCTGTAATTTTTGATTATGTTCCTTGTAGTAATGCATTAGAACCAAAATTGGCTTGAAAAGGGGATTAAGTGCAGTAACTTTCAATCCTACTAATAAAATAAACTGATTAAAAATATCCAAGGTAACAACTACATTAAGGATTTGCCCTATCAAAACAATGAATTTTGAGGGAATGAAATCAGGTCAGGTGAGACAGAGTTCCCCAACAGTTTGTGAGCAGTGGGCTTAGAACTATGTGTGTGTGTTATGTGCACTCATACAAAATGGTGGCCATGGTGAACATGTCCAAGCATAAAGCTACCATTTCCAAAAAGGCAAACAAGTAAGACTAAAATAAAAGTAGTTTTTTTAAGCACAAAGTACAGAGATAGAGTACTCTCTTTCTGTCATAGGCAGGGGCATTCATACCTGACTGTCACCCCAGCAATAAAATGTTTCTAGAAGCTTTTACTTTGTTTTGAAGCATGCCAAACTCCCAGCATTTTTTAAATTTAAAAAAAAATACAAAGGGGAAGGAGCCTGGCAGGTCCTGAGGGAGGTATCCATAAGCACCATGTAACAGATCCAAGTTAAGTGTTTGTTTTTTTTAATGATAATGAAATTAATTCTTGCTATGTGATTCTTCTACATTAACTTTTTTTGAAATTATCTTGTTTAGACAATAGATATAATAATAGTCCTGTATGAAGAAAGCTTACAAAAGGAACACAGGGATTTTCAATCTATGTCCATGTTGATAGGCTATTTTTAAAACAATGTTGCCAGAATAATAGAAAGGGATACAAACTTCATTAATTGTACATAGATACAAATGACATCAGTGGAACCCAGCTTAGTCACGATTAGGGATGTGTGAAGAAACCATTCTGGCAGAAAATTCATCCGATTTTCAGACTTCGACTTTTTCTGGGCTCAGTTCACTTCCTTAGAGAGCAATTAATACTAGAGGAAGTTTGATGGGCATGTGCAAACAGGATTCCAGGGAGGAATCCTTAGCCTTGACTAAAATCTCATTTGGATTTAAGTTGGAACTAAGTGCTGCTAACCCATAGTTGGATTCAATGCATAAAACATTTATAGAGTATGAAAGTATGATCCAACTGACTTTATGAAAAGTGATGGCACAACAGGTATTATGTTTGTATTCAGAGAAGCATGAGTATTATTCCAGTCATACATTAGGGTTTTCCTTCTCCACTTCCCTCAACCCATTCCCCAGTACATCCTCCTCAAAAAGTCATTCCTGAGTGTTGCGGGGACCTCTCAAATAGCATGGGATATGGCACAGGGAGCTTGTAGTCAAAAGGGAAAGTCAGCAGAGATGGAGAAGGGTGTCCAGCATGTTCGAAGTGCTTACCATTCATGCTTGAGAAGGTTTGTATCTGTGCCATTGTTTAGTTCTTGAATAATCATTTGACAAAAAAGTATGGTGGTCCAGACAATTGTAAAATTACAAAGATTTAAAAGATTAGAGAAAAACAATTCCTAATGCAACAAGATATGCTAGTCTGTATTTATAAGCAAACACAGAGCATTAAGAATACACAGATGTTCTTTCAATATTTATGAAAGAATTCAGCACATTCTTTCAATGTGCC